TAGACTATCAGGCTGGAACTTAAATGTGGTGTTTTGGTAAATGTTTCTGAATCCCTTTTTGCTAGAACTGCAATGATGCTTTATAGTACAATAAATCAAAATAGCAAAAATAATGGGGGAAAAAAGAACCATTTAATGTTGGCTTAAGCTTCTTTTTGGCCAGCTCCACATCTCACTTCTTACAGTTATTCCATCAAGCCTGTAAGGGAGGTAGTCACAGCCATCTTTGTTTGACTCCTTCGGCTCTTAATATTAGATTCTGGTGCGATTGAGCAGAGACATATCTACAGTTAAAGTATCAGGACTCCACCCCTCAAGGACAGAAGTTCCCAGTACCTGATCTAAATAAACACCTTTTCTCTCCCTCTCTTCTGTGTTCATTATGGCAGCACTAGCGCACCCCCCACTGCAACAGCATTAATGTCACAACACCTGTTACAACTTGAGTCAGCCTCAGGTGATCTCATCTTTACACTTAAGCTTCTTCGGTGCAAATAACTAATTTGACTTCATTTGGATGTTGTCTTAAAACCCAACAATATTTCTGTCGCTAATTTTTCTGGATAAATAAAGGCTAAATGAAGGAGGAAAATCCTGCTTACACCCAGCCCTTATTTTGCAAAACAAAAGATCCATTTAAATGTGGACCTCTTATATTTTCAATGATTGGGGCCATTTCCACATTTGTGAATCAGTTCCTGCTTCCATGCTGACCAGAAAAAAACATGGGAACATGTATAGGGACTAAAAGATACACGTCATGCATTTGACAACATTAAGTTGCATTTCTTATTACTTTTTTTGACGAATACAACGAAACATCAGTGGAAATATTTGCACCCATAGAGCCCGTCACAGCAGAGAGCCCGGATGTCATCTTATTGTATTTCCTGCAGTAGACAGAGGCCTCTTCTTTATCCCTTTATCTCTGCCACCACACCGGGTTTGCATACAGCTCTATCAGAGAGCTGTCAAATGATGGTACACTGTGCATCTTTATGAAATGTCCTAACCCCACCCCCCACTCATCCGTGGACTGGGAAGAAAGTCTGGGGCCAGTATTTGTCATGTAAATAAAGTCAGCTCAACTGCCATTCCAATGGATTTGCATCTGGGCTGAATGTAGGTTAGTCAGTCAGTCACGATGGACGTGTATTGCTCTGAGTGGATATCAGTGGGAACTAATTCAAAACATACGTGCCTTTTTAGAAGCGCACTGGCCTGATCTTAAATCGTAACCAGTTTTCTTAAGGTTGAAATAAACAATGTGTATGAAAATCGCACCAACCTACGGTTTTATTCACTGTAAAGGTTCAATTCCTGCATTTAAGTGATGATGATTTTTTTATGCTTCCAGAGAAAGAATTGCGTTATCAACAAAATAGAAATTTGTTGTGTTTATGTTCACTATCTCTGACACTTCAAACCACTATAGCATTGTTAGTTTACAATGATAAACTGGTATCATTACTGCGTTACCTTTACCTAAAACAGCAAATTGTTCAAAAGCAAATTTTATATGATGTCAAGTTTGAGTTGTTGTAACTAGCTTCATAGTAGCATTTAGCTGATATCTGCAGAAGGAAGGTCTGACATCAAAAATGGGAATACATGCTTTTATTTACACCTTTTGAACCTGTTGGGAACAGCAAGGAGTATAAAGTTGAACAGCAGTTAAAAAAAGGTTGTAGATACAGTTGTCAGTTGTAGAGCTCAACGCAACAAAGACTCAACAGTGTGGAGATCTCCAGCTCTGCACCAGATTCATGCATTCATGTGGGGAATGATGTCCAAAATTAATGCTTTTTTTCTGCACCTCTCTCAAGTTGTAGCACCTGTTCACATCTAATGGGGTTTTAGGTAAAAACACTGAAAAACATCATGAGGAAATGTTTATTTACCACATTTAGCTAAAACACTAGAGACAGGAAAGCTAATTTACCAGTTTGAGAAAATGTCTGTAGTTCTCCTAGCTTCACATTTTTCCTTTTCCCTCATCTGGTATTGCGTCTCTCCAGCTACTGTTGGTGTTTCCTCCAATAACACATCATGCTCCATAGGTGGAAGCATACAGAGTTTAGGCTGCATTTCAGCAATTAATTGGCCTTCGGAAAATAGGCATCAGGCAGACAGAAGCTGCTGTTTCCTGCCCAGAGAAAACCTTCAAGCGTCTCCAGTTGGTTCCTATTTTCCCTCAAACTGTGTCCCCCGCAAAAACAAACAACATTTATTCTCCTGTCCTAAACCCTGACATTCAGGGTCATCATGGTCTGCTCATCTTTCCTCCCATTAACTCTAGTTTTCATGTCATCTGTGAAATTCGAGTTCTGCATTTGATAGCACTAGACTTGTTTTTTTGTTTTTTTTCTCCAGCTTCGCAGTGTTTAAAGAAACTTTTCAACCTTTCCTCACTTTTTACTTGTCAGATTTAACACTGATTGTCCTCCAAAATAAGAAAAATGGCTCTCCTGTTACAGAAGGAGTGCCCTGCAAAGGTCTTCTCTATAACAATAAACTCTGACTGAGTCCATTTAAGCAATGAAATATTAATACACACCCAGAATGCTGGAAAGAAACCCTGTCCTTATATATATTAGCAGATGTGCAAAGCCACAGAGAGATAAACCAAAGGTTAACAGCCCATTTTGTTTGTGTCAGGGGTCCATGTGAGCGTAACAGGATCAGTGAACGTGGAGCTGCATGACCTCAGAGAATATAGATGTTTTGCAGATCAAAATGTCCCCCACACTTTTCCTTCTTAATGCATTTCTTCTTCTCTTCATCCTTGAGGCCACAGACTCTCTGAGCATTAGTACGTTGTAATGGGAACAATGTGCACTCACAGCTCTAATGAGATTTTCCCTTTCAGTTCAACTTGGACAAACAAAAACATCCTCAATGGGATGAAGAGAGAATCTTTTGACTTTTTTCCTTTTCTTTGTTGAACACTTTAAACCCCCTTTAAAAATGACATCAAGCTCTGATTATAACCTGTTTAAAATGGAAAAACGAACTTGACATAAAGGTCATTGTTCTGTTTATGTGGAGAAATCCATCAGATCTACCTGCTCGTTTTACTCTAGATGAAATAATTACTGTGTCTGGCTTCAGAAGAAGAGACGAGGAAAAGTGGTAATTATGCAGATTCTCAGCCAACCAAATTAAACGGAGTGGGCTGCCCAGGGGTCGATAAACCTCACTTTTTTGCATGATTCAGTTAATTGCAGAAGTATTTGTACATCTTTAAGTTTCCCACACATTGTCATGTTATGTGACCAACCATCAGCAGGGCATACATTGCGGTCAGAAGCAAATAGCGAAAAGGAAATAGAAACATTTTATTAATGAAACAAACAACACCTTAGCAATGGACAGCAATGCAAGACAGCTTCACGTGATCATCATCATGGTACTAAATGGATTAATGAATCAGTGAACGCTTGCATGTATCAACCAATAGCAATTCAAGAAAACAGCGCTATCTGTCTCTAGTCTCCCTCCAGGAAACGGTGTTATTTTTCCACAACATTTGGATTGCAAGGTGCAATGGCGTAACAACACAACGATAGGACCGGAAGCAACATTATCTGGGCAGCCCCATTTGAAGTACAACACCCCATCCCCCCCTGCCTAACTGGATTACCCATAATTCCAAGTCATATTGTAAAAAATAAAATACTGAAATACATTGTTCTTTTAAGATCTTTATTGCGGTTTGAAACATATTTTATTAGTGTATTTTTGATAAACAATCTAATGAACTATATACAGTTATTAACATAGTAATTCAAAGTACCACTGTCTGCTTTGCTATTGGTGTCGTGTTTAAACAGCTCACCATCATGTGGAAATCTGCCATGTGTTGGGGTATAAATAAGGCCCGGTCAGTTAACCTAGTATCAGGTGGAGTTAAGAGGAAATTTCTGCACCATTACTTCTGCAAAGAGACGTCCTAGTCCACAATGGCGTAGGGGGCCAACCAGGTGTCAGTGACGGGGCCCCTAAGAGATCGGGGGCCCCTAAGCAACTGCAGTCTCTGCTTACCGATAGTTACGCCATTGGCAAGGTGACAAAGTTGTAATTTCACCTCATTTGACTGGAGCTCCTTCTTATACGCTGTCTTTATTGCCCTGTATTAAGCTCCAGCAGTTCTCATGTCCCTCTTCCAACTGGCTTCCATTTCCTGCTTAACCAAAGCTTCTTTGAAACATGGCGCTGCCATCACAGTGTTTTATTATGAGGATAATGAGTTTGGCATGTAGTGAGGTGGGTGTGTTTTTGCCTTGTATTGGACTTTTCATGTACAGGAAAAGTTTATTTTGGTTTTTGTCTGACCAGAGTATCTTCTTCAGCATTTTTGATGTCCACGCCATGAAATGTAGTTGTTATGTCTGTTCTGCTCCTCTGTCTTTATGATGCTGCTTCTCCTCCAAAGTCAGTAAAACCTCTGATTCCTTCACAAACAGCTGCATTTAGTTCATTTGGTTCTGCTGCAGCAGATTTCCTCCCAGATACATCCTGGCTTTTCCTTTTTGTTCCTCTGCCTCTTTTTGCATTAGTCACCACCACAGCATCGAAAGCTGCAGCCAAGACATATTTTGGCTTCAGAAGTTTCTATTTCAGCAGCCTGGTTTGTTTTTCTTTGAACTCTGAAATGTGACGCTGGTGTGGAACAAACTGCAGGCTGCAGAGGGTTTGGGAAAAGAATAGCAAAATAGGTTCCTCAGACTTTATGTAGAACTTCTTAAAGAGTTTCTAGCTTATATCTGTTGATACTTTAGGAGAGCTTCTATTGGTTTTTATGACCAAAAACAGTTGAATGATCCAGAGCTTTTAAGGTTTTTTTCCACCTTTAAAGTGACACAAACATGTTATTTATAGAAAAAAACTTTTCCAGAGGACTCAGGATATTCAAATGCTATGACTTCCAAAGGTCTATCAGCTCTATGTCGCTTTCCCACCTGTTGCTCATCGATCCCTATCTCTCTGTTGCTCCACAGACGTACATCGGCTCCATCCTGGCGGCGGTGAACCCCTACCAGCCGCTGCCCGGCCTGTATGACCGCCCAGCTGTGGAGCTGTATAGCCGCCACCAGCTGGGGGAAATCTCTCCGCACATCTTTGCCGTGGCCAATGACTGCTACCGCTCACTGTGGAAGAGGCTGCAGAACCAATGCGTCCTGATCAGGTGGGTGAGCCTGGCTTGCTAAATTTGGAGTCATTTCCATCCATTATTTCTGTTCCTTTCTGGTCAGAGGATGCACTGACTGGTCTTATTTAATCTTCTTTGAACTCCAGGCCAACACTTTGATAAAGTCTCCCTGAGCTCCTTGGCTTCACCTCTAACAATCTGATCACAGCATGTTACAGAAACATCCAAACTTCCTACATTTATTTCCATCTCCCTTCCTCTACTTTCCTTCCTCGTGTTTTAGGCTTCACCAACTTTCACATCCTACATCACTTCGTTGTTTTCATCCACCTTCAAATGTGTTATAAATACTTTACAAATGCTAATATTTGTGTCCACATTAAACATGGATGGATGGAAAAGGTTTTCATGTGGCTTTTATGAATCAATCGGCTGTAATTTACTTAGTCATTGATATTGCAACATGTTAATTTAAAGGAAAAATAAACATGGATAATTAGAATACTAGAACATATTTACCTTTAATATAGATCTGATCTTATTTTGGATAAATAAAAATTATTGCATCGTATGCATCGCTCTACCTTACCTTTCTACCCATCCCTTCCCTCCTACCTTATGATCATAAATGCAGCTTTATTCGTTTGGCTTTGAAACGCAGTGTTTCTGGGGAATTAGTTTGGCTGCTGAATCTCAGTGTTCTTCAGAACCATGACTGTTGTTTCCTCCCAATCAGGCGTACACAGAGCACAAAGTGTGTTTCAAATTTTAGTAGGAGTTAGCTTTTGAGTTTGGAGTTATTACCAGTTTTATCCTTAGCTGAAGTCAAAAGCCATTTTAGTCCTGTTCTTTGTGACAAATCTCACATAAATCTGATTTGCTTCTGGACAAGAGGGGGCGCTGTGAGCAAATATAGATGAGAAAATCTACTTCCCAAACAGTTACAAAGATACTGGAAGAACTGGAAAATGAATCCGGCCTGGTAATTTGGAGTTTAACCTGTCAATACATAAAAATCTGGAGCATTTGAAGTATTTAACCAGAAACGCACTCTGAGAGCACATATCTCCACCAAGCAGAAAAATTTGCCCAATATTGTGACTTTCATCTATAGCTAAAACTCACACATTATCTGGATCGTTACCATATTTTAATGAATTGCTCCTCAGCCTGAGGTGCACCTTTGGTAACAATTTCCTTAAAATCCATTCACAAGTTTAAAAATACTGCAAAATGTGTGCCTGCAGCCTCTGGTGTTTGTTCTGCTCTCACCTTCATTCACTCTGCTTTCCTCTTTGATGAGCAAATCGAGCAAAGCATGGCTCACCATTCCTGTGTTTCTTTATTTATTTGTTTTTTACTATAATACTTGCAGACTTTTCTTAGTCTTAACTGAAGCTGTCTATAGTCACTGCTGCCAACCCTGCTTGTTCAGCCAAATAATGTTAAAGAATCCTTTAAAATGATACCTGTCACTGGATTATCTATGCATCATTACCAAAATATAATGGATTGTTCCTTTGCAAGAAGCGCTCCTCGTGTAAAAATTTCACTGAAATCCTTTCATATCAAGTAAACCTGCTAACAAACATAAAAATAACCTCCTTAGCGGATGTAAGAAACACAATAAAAGCTGCTTGCTGGTGCTTTGCCATTAATTCCATGGGATCATGTATTGACCAAATTTGCGTGCTTATTATTTTACTCATCTTTAGTCAAGATCACCTCACATATCTAGACCTCATGGATATTAACTACTGGAGGGAAAAAAAACATTTCTTGTTTTTCCTGCTCATTCTCAGACTATCTGTGTGGTCTTTTCTATTCCCTCTGTCTTTAACAAATACAAACTGCAATCATTTTGTCAAACTAATGATTATATGAAACTGTGCTCTGAAGCAGCCTTAGGCAGTGTAATCTTGCCCCCCTATTTATTTCTAACTTACAGACTTGTATTCTGTGGGTGGTGGAAGTGGATGTGTCCACTTGTAGCCCGCTGTGGGTAACTGCAAATGATTTACTTGGTTTGTTTAGGCGGGATAACCATGTTATTGACAGTGCAATAAACCCTCGGCCATTTTGGCTCGCTGTAGGCTAAAGCTGAAACAGTGGAGACGTTTGGCGGGGAAGGGAGTCTCAGCCTTTTGCTCGAGGCGTGAGTTCAGTGGTTAACCGACAATTAGTTGACGTTAAAGCAGACTGTTTCGTCGGCACCGGGAATAATCAGACACAGGTGGTCCATTTAAAATCAAACTAAACAGAATTTAGAACATGTAAAGTTAACAGCTGCTTATGTTTTCTTCATAACAAATTTATTAAACACAAACATGGAGAAAAATAGAATTGGTATGTATGTATCAGTTCTAAGAACAAGTGACTCTGTAGAGACTCTTATGTATTAATAAACGCCAAAGTGTTCACCTGCTGTTGTTATAAATAACAAAATAAGAAAGAACTCAACTTCAGGTCAGCTACAATAGATTGAGACAGCGTGAATCTGTACAGCGCTATAGTGTAGTCCTTCTATTAAGTTCCTCTAACAGCAGCTGACCATAGCCGCTTTTCTTTAACCTGATAACAAATGAAACAAAGAGAATTCCTGTCATGCATTACTGTGATTGCGATGCTATTAAAGCGGCATGTCTTTGCATGCATTCTCCCTCACATGTTCCCCTGGTTGTCTGCTGGTCTAATTTGCCTCCGTCCTTCTATTAAGGGAGGGGAAAAAAAGGCCTTTTGTGTGGCAGGATGTCGGTCAGTGGGAAGAATATGTGCCGTGGCAAAGCTGAGCTAGGCGTAAACACAAACATATCCCACCGCAGTGCTACACAATGCTGCGTTTCTTTTTACAGAGACGTGTCCCTGCAGCAGATCCGCTTTGTGCTCCTTCACATCTCAATGATTCCTGTGACTTTTACTGCTTTTCATTGTGGACTTATTTTAGACACCTGGAGTTTATAGAACTATTAGTCTACCACAGAACCTGTGACCTAAAGAAAAAGAAAATGTTGGGGCTTTTTTTTCCCCCATGACAGCAGCAGCAGTGATGTCGGGCAGAAAAGATAAACCACAGAGACCACAGTTTTGACCTTTTACTGTAGTTTTAGCTAAAACATGACCTGGTGGTGTACTGTTTGTTCAAATATGGTAAATAACACACTGAGCTTTCCATGGAACGTATTGTAAATCTTCCTTATCAACCTATTAAGCCTTGCATATGTAGATTATATTAAAAATGTCAAATATTTGAAGGTTTTCTACACAGTAAAAAAAAAAAAAAACAAGTGTTACTTTAACACCTTCAGAGCTGAATATAACTCTGTTCCAAATAACATTTTCTCCCATTTAAAACCAGTGTAAAATACACTCTATAGCCGGTGTCCATTTTCTTATTTAATTTGACTAATTTTACTCTTACTTACTTAAAAAATTTGGAAGACCTCTCAGAGACTGGCAGGTAATTAACACCATATAGAGTAAAAGTTACATTGCATGGCTGTCAAATTTTTCGTTAACTCTTAACTCCATCACTTGAGCTGATTTACACTCAGTATAGATGTAAGTACTCTGTTTAGAATAAAATTGGTTGACTCTGAATTTTGAACACCCATTCTTTTATTGTGTACATTTTAACTTACCAACAATACAAATCAGTTAAAGTATTTTAATTCGCAAATTTAAAAGAAAAAAGGAAATAAACTGTGCCAAAGATTGAACCCTCAACCCTCTTTTGCTACCTTCGATGTTCTTAAGCACATTTTTAAAATGCAGGGTATATTTTCTCATATTTGTTGTCAATTTGGAATCCGTACATGCATGCATATTTCATGTAAAAAGAAAATAGAAATGTGTTTTTGAATCAGTTCTCTGTTTGGCTCTCTTGCCTTAGAAGTTTTTTGACCCTAAAAGTGTGCCCTCTTAAACCACGTGTGTTTAACTGCAAAGCTGTTAACTGGTTGGTAATTTCTACCCTCAAGCAAAATCTTGAGGTGCCTGCTGCAACACAGGAGCACCAGCTGTAGCAACTTTGGAAAAAAAAAATGTGTTGATTCAAAACCCAATAGAAAAACTCTAAAATTTTAACGGACTAAATCCTATAAGGACTTGGTAAATTTGTTCTGGTTTGTTGCTCAGATTAAAGAAAAAGGGCAACATGCTTGTGCTTCTGCTGGTCTGGGAATGATGGATGTGTCAAGCTGTGAATAATTTCAGTGTGAAGCACAAATCCTCAGGAAAACCAGAGGGCCTCATTCCAGTGTGGAGGTCCGGCTGCTCAGTGAGCAGAATTGAGCTTGGTGATCGAAGTGTGTTCCATTCAGCAGCAGGCAGTTAGTGAGCAACTTTTATAACCATGAAGCAACATTGGTTTCCGTTACCCAGGAAGTAGTCCTTGCCTCCATAGTCATTTGAACAGAGTGCTGGACAGCTGCTCCAGAACGTGAACAGGTTTACAATGATCATTGACATTCAGACACATGTTCGCTGTGGGCCTGCCAAAAAAAACCGGTGTGGACCCCCCATAAAACATGGAACACGCCTGGGCCCCCACCCCTATACAGAGGGATCCATTTATTTTGTGCATGTGAGGAAGAAGAGCTATAAATCTGCAAGCTGGCAGTGTCAGCCGCGGCAGGAAGCCTTCTCTTCGGATTTAAGGATTGTTGGTAATCAGATCCAGGCGAACGAAACAGGAGCTGGTGTAAAAGAAGAGGTGGTGGTGGAGGAGAAAGAAATCAGCTCTAACATGAAACCATCTGCTCATTAAAGCTTGTGAATGCCACTCTGCGCTTTCACTAATGCGGGTACCTACCTGCAACCAACCACATTGTTATAGGACAGGAGTCCCGGGGAGATTTTATTGAACACTTAAGAAAGAAACAATCTAAACGCTGAATCACAATTTTTATGGAAACCCTACAGAAATTATCCAAACACAGCAAAGTTGAGGGTTTTAAAGATAATTGAACAATAAACAGGAAATTCTTAAAGTGATTTTTTATAACAGCAGCTCCTTTGTTTCTGTTCTTATTAGCACT